TATCAGCCTGCATCGGGTTGGTTCACTGCTTCAGAATGTATCTTTGCCAGAAGCCTTGAGCCTTTTGAAGGTAGATTTGTTGCTCCCACTTTCTGAACTTTCTCAGTTTCTTCTCTCTAGTATGTTTTCCTCCTCTCGGTCCTTTCTATCCTTTTCCCTTAGAAGCTTGTCCCACCCCTTATCTTGGCTTCTTCCTTTCCTACACTGACTTGTATCTGAGCCTGCCAAATTCTGCTTTCCCTTACTGCATGTTGGTGGAACATCATACTGTAGTCCAGGTCTTTTGGAAATTAAGAATAAAATCTTGTTAATGATTGAACACAATTAAATGTTATGAGTAGCAAAATTGGTTCATTTGGTCTTTTAGTGCCCTCTGTTGGCTAATACTGAAGAATACTATTTTGTATCTATAAAGCCATTATGGTTCCTGTCATCTGAGAAAATTCAGGAAGAATGAACTTTTGGTAATGCACCTTCGGTAACTGTAGTGAATATAGCGGATGGCCTTGAAGGACAGGAGAAGATCCATTACCAAGGCAACAATCAGATAAATAAGGCTTGAAACCAGGCCAAGAAAGTGATTTATCTCAGCACCGCCCACCCCCCACCCAGCCACACACACACCTTAATTCACATGAAGATAAAAAAGGGAGGAAGGGAAGCACATTCAGACTAGCAAGTTTCTATTATTGTAGCTTTTCTAATAGAAGTGGTTTTAGGTTTGCACAGTATCTGTTTCTTATTCTGGTCTACCTTACAGAGCTGACAGTAATATAAAAAGTATATTACCAGTTTGTAATGTACCCTTAACTGCACTGTGAGACTTTGTGGTTTTCTCTAGAGACCATTTGGTAATAGTAAGTTAGATGTAGGCATGAAACACAAGGAGAAAAGTAATATTCAGGACCACAACTGAGACTATCTCTTGTTCACTGAAATACCACAAAGCTAGGAAATCAGAAGCTAACAGTGTATTTCCTTGGATTTGAAAACAAAATAGAAGTAGTATCTGTATAATTGAGTTTTATTTCTTTCATTCATTCTCATTAATAAAGGGGATTTACAAATGATAATTTGTCTAAAGTATGAACTGCAGAATATCACAAATTTAGGTATATAACTGGAACAAGTCAAAATGATAGTGGTAGTGTTTTTATTAAGAATAACCCAAAGTTGTAACCTTAGTTTATAGCTTTTGAGAGAGCCACAAAGATGTCCAAATTGCCTCTGGCCCCCAGTGGAAATGCAGGGGTGGGGGGGAGGTGAACGATGCTAATGATGATGGAACAGTTGCACTTGTTCCTGGTGGCTTTCTGGATTCAAATTAAGTTGCCCACTGTAATGTATGAAGCTATATATGGCATAAGCCAACATTATATAAAAGACCATCTACTTCCATGCATTCTTGAATCTTTGGTAGAACACCTTTTGCTGATCCTGCTATAGAAGCATCAAGTTTGGCCATTACCTCTACTTTGTTTGTGATGAGGCCTATGTTACAGAACAACCTGGAGTTGAGACTGGACCTACGTTTTAAAAACTTAGAAAAGTGCTTGGAGCATCTCTATTACAGAAGCCTTTTAATTTAGAGGATATTTTTAATGTTGTTAGTTTTAATTATTTTAATTGGTGCACTGAATTTTAAATTGAATTTTAGATGATGCAAATCATTTGGCATCACAAAATGGAAGGAGGGTTCATAAATTTTTAAAATAAATTTATAAATAAATAAGGCCCTTTTGTGTTAATTGTAGTAATAAAAAGGAAGACCTAAACAATTTATGAAGAAAGGGCTAAGAAGTTCCAAAGTCTTTGAACACAAATGTGGTTTCTGGTCCTCTTATTGTTCAGTTATCAGTTAGCTTTATGGATGCCTCTTTACCTTCAGCTCAGTTGCCATTCAGATGTTTTGGGGACAATCAGTTTTCTCTGCAGCATAAGAATATTTTTAGTTAATTTTCTAATCTGTAGCTTCTCTTCTCTTCCTGTACAAGAGCTCCCTCTACTTGAAAATCATTGGTTTTGCCACAGCTTATTAGCTAAAGATTTTAAATCCTTTGACTGTCTTTTATTAATTTACATAATAACTTTTAGTAGCAGGCTTTATTCAAAATAGAACTCTTGGAAAATCATGTAAAAAAAAGTTTGCTGGTCAGTGACTAAAATAAAATGACTGACTGATATGTAAAAAGAGCATCTTATTAATATTATGCCTTATGTTTGCACTTATAAAAGAATCAGGGCAGTTTTATCAACTCCTGGGTTGGGTACTATGGAAGCAGAAGCAGTCTGTGTCTAATAATAGAGCCTAGTCCTTCAACTATGGATATTTTTATATCCATGCTAGATTTAAGGACACAAAGAGGAAATTTTCCATTCCAAATTGATCAAATAAAATCGGGTTTATTATTATGGTAACTGACTAGTATTGCTAACAGTAACAATTAGAACTGTGCAAAGCATTCAAAGGGATGTTTTCTGTTGATGTACATAAAATTCATCTAATCATCCAGAAAAAGAATGATGAGAGTCATTATTAAACTGTTGTGCAAGTCTCTATAGAAAACAGTATAATAAGACATGGGCCAGTGGTTTGACTGTTCCATCATCACAGCAGCATAACCTTTTGGCATAAGAACACTTCTTAAATCTGCCCTCGAAAATTGCTGACGGTAAAATATTAGCGCATAGTAGCATAAAAGCTCTGCACTATTTAGGTACAGTTAATCAAAGCTCCTAGATGGTTTGACATTATTCAGTTGGCTTCCTAACTCAGCATATTTCTTATTTTCTGAGTGCAATCTGGGATTCCATGTCCAGGATCCTTGGTTTGAACATGGCGTTTCCTATACTTCTCCAATCACAAGGAATTTCCTGTCTTTACTTTTGGGAATAAATTGTCAAATCTGAACAGTCACAGATATAAACAGACTTGATAAAGTAATAGTGAGATCAGTAAGAATATGGTTTAAGGAAATAATATTGCAAGACAGAAATTAAAAATTTCTCTGTGAGATCTTTGCAAAGGCCACGCTATAGGTGGGCTGCAACATGGCTCAGTGGTGGCACATGTGATTTGCATACAGGTTGTTAGGCTTAGAGTTAGGGAATGGCTACAGCTACCATATCTAGGCTGCAGAAATCAGACTTTTTTGTATCTCTTTGCTGCCTCTAGTGATCATCTGGATGATTGCAATCCATATATTGTAGCCTACAGTTAAATTCTCCATATCTCTGGGTAGGACTGGAAAAAAAAAGTTGTTTCTAATCCTAGAGAACTCTTACAAGTCAGTGTTGACAACACTGAGCTAAATTGGCCCATAATCTGACTCCATAATTAGTGGTTATAATGTAGGACTAGAATTCATGTCTATCTTCAACCATCATCTCACTGGGTGGCTTTGGTCAAATTATTTTCAACTCAAACTAACTCACAGCATTATTTTACTGGGAAAAATTGGAGAGGGATAACCTTGAGCTTGGGAGGACAGGTGAGATATACATATAATAAAACTAATTGCTTTTGTATGTCACAATTCTCAAGATGGCTCACATCTCTATTTTAAATGAAAAGAACAATAAGAGTAACAAGGTTATCATGAAAAACTCAGTGAGTAAAATCAGTTTAAAACTAAAATATATTAAAAAGAAAGCAAGGTATTTGTACGATGCCAAAATGTGATCATAGTAGGTGCCAAATAAGACTCTTGGACTTTCATATACATTTGTCGCTGCTCCATATTTACTGTGAAGATGGAGAGAGGTACACTAAAGCAACAAACATCTGTGCAACCCTAGTGGTAGATTTGGAAGAATGGGTACAAACTGATAGGGTTTGGAGGTCTC